AATTAAAATAATTTTTTTAAATATAATTTTCAAACAGTGTTTGTCATTTTCTTAAAACATATTTTTTAAATACAAATCAAATTTCAGTCATCTATCTGCAGTAGATTTTTTGGTGTAATGAACTTTAATTACAAATAATATAGACAATAATAGACTCATTCAGTACCCCCAGAGGTACGATTCTAAAGGTAAAGGTAAAAAGCAAGAAATAAAAAAATAAACAAATTTTTTTTTAAACACTACGGTTATTGATAGAACGCAGGTAAATTAAATTAATTTAATCTTATTTATTATTGAAGTTCAATTACAACCTTAACTTGCTAATTATTTGCATTTTTTCAAATGCTAATAAAATATCAATCAATAGATATCAATCAATAGATAAAATATATCAATATCAATCAATAGATAAAATATATCAATATCAATAAATAGATAAAATATCAATATCGATCAATAGATAAAATATAATCAATAGAAAAAAATTACAAGAAATGAGAACTACCACAAAAAATAAATATAACAGTAAAAATGTACAAAAATAAATAAATAAAAAAATATGAAAAAAAGAAATAAAAAAATCTACAAGAGTATTGTAAAAAACTCCGTACTGAGGTAAATTGAATTAACTTAATCTTAATAGTTTTTGAGGCTACCCTTGATTGCTGATTATTAAAATCTACATCAAAAGAAGCGAAAAAGATCTAGAAGAAATGAAAACTTCAAATTTTATCGAGGTTACACTTTAAAATGTAACAACACCCATGTGTAACACGGGATATAAATAGATAACTGAATCAGGAATAAAGACATAATTACAGCAAATAGGAAAATAGAAAAGCAAGTCTGAAGAAAAAAAAATGGAGCATCAAAAGACATTGTTATTTTTTTAATGCAATTCAGCAACGTGTTTACAATTCCAACATGCAATCACATACTCTGAAAGAAAAAAAAAGTAACTGTGATTTGGATCTTAATGTAGATGACTCATCAATACGCAGCTCACACCCGTTACTTTACATAATTCCCATAATTCTCCGCTTTCATCTCCGAATAAAATGGAATTTCCCAAAATCAAGTCGCAACTTTCCCTCAGCATTTTGATTATTTACTTCTTTTCACTTTTTTTCTCTCTCTCTCTCCGTAAAATAGAATTGAGGACAGCGGCAATATATTTTAAGCGGAGCAGTAGACAAGGTTAATGCCACCGGATCTGTGTAATGGCGATTGTTTAATATCCACCTTCACTTACTTCCCAACTTCCTCAGACACTTTAACCTATTTGCGCTTCACTTTTTTTGAGAGAAAGTGTATCTTTTGATGACAGCGGATCCAAGTATTGCATAACTGTGAGGAGGAGGCTATCAAAATAGTATCGTGGTTTGTAAGTGTGGGAGATCTTAGGTATAGTGTAATAATATAATAGTCCATTCACAATGTAATAAGTTAATTTAGAAGGGAAAAAAACATCGTTTAAACAATATCTGCAACTGGAGGCATAAAATTTCTTTCTAATTTAGTACGCAAATATGTTACTGTCTTCATTTCATAAAAAACTTTTCCTTTACACATTATTATTTTATTGCTAATTCATTAAAAAAAAGAAAAAAAAAACTGTGATTTTCGCTATAAGTCCAAGTCCACAGGTTCTTTTTAATGCTCGCTATTAATGACAATTGTTTAACGTTCATATTCTCTTACTTTCAAACTTCCTCAGACACTTTAAACTATTTGCGCTTAATTGCATTTTTTTTTTTTTTTTTTTTTTTTTTTTTTTTTGAGAGAGAAGATGAATCTTTGGATGATCAAAGTGTTGCGTAACTGTGTGTAAGGAAACTGTTAAAAAAAAGTGTCGTGGTTTATAAGTGTGGGAGACTTCAGTGCCATACGCCATTCGTAATGTAAGGAAGAAGAAAAACATCGTTTAAACAATATTTGCTACTGAATGCAAAAAGTTCTTTTTTTTTTTTTTCAAATTTAGTATATGGAGCTGTGGTGGCTCAGGGGATAGAGCGTTCGCCTTCCAATGCGGTGAACCGGGCTCGATCCTGGCTTTAGCTGATTGATACGAATTCCGCATCCGGCTTGCACCGACCACAGTGCTGACGTGAAATATCCTCAGTGGTAGACGGATCATGGATTAGGGTCCCCTTGCCATCAGGCTAACCGTGGGAGGATCTCGTGGTTTTCCTCCCCATGTAACACAAGTGCGGGTTAGTTCCATCAAAAAGTCCTCCACGACGGCAAAGTTCTCCCGATTCTTGATCCACGAACTCCCTCGTCTTTTGGATTGGGTTCAAAATTACAAGGCTAGGAGTTGAACGTTAGTAGTCGTAAACCTAAAATTGGGTCGGCTGTTCAACGACGATTATAAAATAAAATAATTTAGTATATGAAAATGTTATTGTCTTTATTTCATACAAAACTTTTCTTTTGCATGCTATTATTTTATTGCCAATTCATAAAATCCTGTAATTTTTGCTAAATTGTATTTTAATAGGACCACGGAATCATTTTGATGCTTGCTATTAATGGTAATCGTTTAACATTCACTTTCTCTTCCTAGCTTCCTCTGACTTTCTTACACATATTTACCCTTTACAAACTAGGAACGAGAAAGTGTATTTTAGGATAATCGTGGATCTCCGTGGGCGTAAAAGCACCATTTCAATGAACAATTTTTATTTGTATATTTTTCACTAATTTTATGTATATTTCACTAATAATATGTATATTTTTCACTAATTTTATTTTTCTGCCGTTTTCATGAGTTTTTAAAGCATGTGTAAAATATTAATAATTTAATTGGAGTAAACACTTTCCGTTGAGAAATTTTCGAACTACGCTAGTTTTAAAACTTGAAATGGTTGTCGACTTTTTGAAAATGTGTATTGAGAATGAAAATGTGTTTTTATGATGGATTAAAGTTGAAGAGTCTGTAAATAAAATAATAATATAACAATTGTCATAAAAAAAACTATTGTTCAACTAAATTGTTTGCCCATTGATTTGGCACCATAAAAATCATACGCACCATATTGTTTCGTAACTAAAATATAATTTTCATACGCGAAACTTTTTTTTTGTGTCTTAATGAATATATTTTAAGTATAGTTCAATAAAAATAATGCATTTTATAAATTTTCTATGCTCTGCCTGAACTTTGTTAACTGGAGGAAGAAAGTTTATTTACAATGTACAAAAGCATATTTTAAAAAATATCTTCAACAGGATGTCTAAAAATTCTAATAATTTAAGATTAAAATGTTTTATTCTCTTTATTTGATCCGAAACATTTTTCTGGATTATTATTTTATTAAATTATTGAAAATAACTTCTATTAAATTATGTCTAACTGAGCTTTTAGTTTTCATTTCATTACTGAAATTTTTTTTAAAAATAAATTAGAAATTTCTCCCTTAATCATAATCGTTTTAAAGCCCATTGTTCATTAAAAAAATCATTTAAATATATTATTAAAAAAAAGGATTTTAAATTTTTGGAGAAATCTTTCTTAATTATTTTGAACCGGCACGGAGTTTTACAAGTGATACAGCATATTAAAAGTTATGCCGGTATGGCTATTAGGCTTGGTTCGACTTAAAGTAACAAAAATATTTATTTGTAATAGTTTGAGTTAATTTAATTTTAGATTACTTTGAAGAGAAATTAGTTTAAATTGTGGTAAAAATGTTTGAAAGTCTTAGGATTTTTTTTCTTCTTTTGAGAGGTATTTAAAAGTGTTGAAGCTTCACTATCAATGTAATCTTATAATACACCAGTAAAGTTCATAAAAAATTACTTAGTAAGGTATCTTTCCTGATTTTTTTTGCATAGATAATTTTGCTGTATACCTTCTAGATGTGGTTACAGCGAAATTTCGCTTCAAGAAACTGAAATACAAGAAAAATTTCAAAACACCTTTAGAGATAAATGCTAATCATAATTTTCCTTCCAAACTAGTTACATTTGCAAAATTAGCATCATTTACTATTCATTACAAATAGTAGTAATTTAATCTTGAACTTATTAACGCCAATAAACTAAGATTAGCGAAAAATGAACTAAAGACAAAAGCAGCTCTCTTTATTTTTAGAGCAATGTCTTTGACAATTAAAGGAACAAAGGAATCATTAAAGTACAGCAATCAGGAAATTAGGTGAATGATAAGATCGTTACTTTAACGGGGAACATTCTTAGTAGACAAACGATCTTAAATCGCTACCTTTGATTTAGGTCTATAAAGTTTTAATAACTTTTAAAAATATTTCTTCTTTTAATTTCAATCGTGTTTTGTTTATGGCAATTCATTTGAAGAGCTGCTTTTGTTTGATTAAAACTAGCAAGCCTTGAATCAGTATTTTTTAAATAAATGAAAAGAAATTTAGTTTTTTGAAATTAATGAGATGCAGTTCATTGGCTTCAAACTCAAATTAGCTAATCTAATAGCATTTAATTACAGCGAAGTGATTAGCATTGTCTGAAGCAGATTGAAATACTTGTGCTTTTTCGTGCAAAATACTGTAGTGTTTTTTTCATCTTCTTTTTTGTCGTTTAACGAATCGAAAAATTTCGAAATTTTGCATTTTAAATAGAAAAAGGGGGAGGAAGAGTGTATTTTCTGAAGATCCTTTAGTAAGACATTGGCAAAAAATAAAACTAAAAAAAGTGGTACATAAATTTTAACTTATAGTAATGATTTTGTTCGTTGTGGTTAGCTCTTCAATTTTAAAAAGTTAATTAAAGTGATAATTGAATTAAAGAATATCCAATTTCAGTGCGATTATTTTATCTTTTTCGAAGAGGCTAAATTTTAATGAGCTAAAATGCCCCAATTTTGTCAGCTATTAGATTATACCCACTGCACATGGCTGCTAGCTATTATAATTTTTGTACAAGATTTTTTCCCAGTAGTAGTAAATAAAGGTTAACGAAAAACAAGCAAATAATAATATCTTAATTTTGTTTAAGAAAGAAAAGAAAAAAAATTGTATTCTTACTTCTGCAGATAAGCGATTTTCATCTGGATAACTGGATGTTGAAGCAAAAACTGTAGAACCTATAAAAATTACATTAATTAGTTTTAAGAAGCTTTTATTTATAATTTTACAAAATATTTAATTTCATTTTATGAGCTTTTAAGTCTGTAGTGTTATTGCTAATTTCTGATGCATATACTGGTTATTCCAGATACCACTTAATTCTTTAGAACTCATGGTCACAGACGTCACTCATGGTCACTAATTTTTACAGTTTGTTATACCGTCTTCTCAATAGCGATTCCACAACATCTGATGAAGTTTTTGTTTTTTCTTACCTCAAAAATTAATTTGCAAACTCATGTGAATATACATTTTTTTAAATTTTATTTTTGATCAGGATTTTAAGTTCTATATTAAAATCAATGGTTACGGAATTCATGATTACTATTTCAGAAAGGTTTTAGTAAGATTTGTTTTATTCTAAAGAATAAAACCACATGGTTGTGTGGTTTAATTATTTTTTCAGCATAATTTCATTTCTTTATGAAGTTCAACTTTAAAATTTTGTTTTCTCGGTGCTACATAATTATAGCAATACTTTCTTTTTTGCGAAAGTTTATATTATATATTAAAGAATTTCATTAGAAAAATCATATTAAATTTGAATCAAAAGTTGATCAACAACTTTCTCAGATAATCATGGCGAAGATGAAATATTTTTCCCTGATTGGAAGAAAGTTAAATAAATAAATTAAAATAAAATGCAAGATGAATGCTTTAAAGATACTTTGAAGGTACCTTAATGAAGTACTATGCAATTTTTTAATTATCATATACTATCGAAGTGCTCTGAAACTAGCTGAAGTTTCAATACAATTTACGTTTTAAATTTATTTGGTTCGTTACAACAAAGATTTAAGCAATATCAAAGTTAAATTTGAAAATACAAACTCTATGTCCAATGTTTTAAAGCAAAAGCATGCATACCTAGTTAAAAACAAGCTTATAATTCTCCTAGTTGAAAAAAAGGAATTACACAGGCTTAGATTTGATTCAAATAATTTTACATCTATTTCAAACATTACAGTTTCGTTTCTTTAGCAATATCAAAATTAAATTTGAAAATACAAACTCTATGTCCAATGTTTTAAAGCAAAAGCATGCATACCTAATTAAAAACAAGCTTATAATTCTCCTAGTTGAAAAAAAGGAATTACACAGGCTTAGATTTGATTCAAATAATTTTACATCTATTTCAAACATTACAGTTTTGTTGAGGGTAAATAAATTAATAAAATTTATAACTATTGCAATTTTATATCAGAAGATTTCGTAATAGGATTTTATCGTAACATAATGAGCAATTATTTACATTAAGAAATAATCAAATGTACTTGACGCATAGAATTACACTTAGTATAGAATATGGTTACACAATAGGAAGAAATAAATAAGAAATAATTTTGCTCGTTGACGATACTTATATCATTATAATATTTAAAATTGGAAACGGTTATTATTGAATTAAGTTTTTACTATTCTGAAGTTTAATATGAATGTTAATATTTATATCCGGCAACATCAAAGTTCTCCATTTTTATCTTTTTTTTTTCGCATATAAGAGAAAAATCTTGCGAGAGATAAATGATTTTTCCTTAAACTGTGGATAAGTAATCAATATTTAAAGCAAAAAAGAAATAAAGCAATGTCTTTCGAACAAATTTGTTTAATTTTCGAGCAAAATTATCAAATGTTAAATGCTTGAAATTTCATAGTACTCATTGTCTTTACTTTGTAGTTGCAATTCAGCGGAATGTAGATCTGACCGTATGATATTTTTTATTTAATAGTTTCACAGTTAATAATTTCTGAACTAATAATCGAATTATTTTTTTAATTTATCACACTCCTTGTTTTTCTATTCACCTTTGTAATTTCTAGTTTTTTTCGTTTTTGCTCTGAAAAACAAAATGTAAAGTAAATCAAACAAAGTAAAAGAAAATCACAAAAATTTGACTCTTTCAGCTACTAAAATTTCGACTCTAGTTGCATTTCTGCGGCTTGCGGTATTTTTGACAACAGATTTAACAGTAAGTAATTTTCAAACTATTTACGACTTTTAAGTATTTTATTCAATGATATTTCGTGCACATTTGTTTTACTTCTCCGTAATTTCTTGTATTTAAATCTTATTTTTAAGCCAAACAAAATGTAATGAATTATTAATCACTCGAAACAGCTTGATCCCGCCGTCACTTACGATTAATTAATATAGAGAGAGATACTTAAAGAATTTTTCATCAAAATCTGATAACCAGAGAGAATACCAAAGAAATGAAATGAAAATAATTTAAGCTAAATGAATGTTCTATTCCATCCCATGTAAGAATAATTAACTATGATGGATCAAAAATAGCCTCTCGAATGTTATAGTATTCCATATTTTTGGGCAAAAGATAAACATTAGACGTAAATTAAATAATAACTTTAATGATTAACACGAGTAAAAATTAAGAAAAAAAAGCCTATATGTGTCCCACAAGACGCATTTAGCATTTCACATAAAAATTACATCAAATATGGCTATTTTTACATGCATTATAGAATACCTACTACCTTAACCTGTTAGCAACAAGAATAATCGTCCAATTCTTCGTTAAAATAAAATAAAATAGGTAGCCCAATATTTTCATCAATAGCACTTTTTTTTATTCATTTATTTTTTGTTTTCTGTTGCATGAAATATTTTTAAACAGGTTTTAGATACTTTCGTATCGCTGATTTCGAAAGTAGTTTTCTCTCGAAAAGCTACAGTTTTTTTAATGGAATTTTTATACGAAATGTTTAAGTTTAAAACGGTTATGTATAATAGGGCAGCAAACTTTTAGGAAAGTTGAAGCACATTTTCAGGATTAAAATTGCATAGGAACCCATGCCTGGTAATGGCGTGAAATGCTGATAGGTATGCATCCCTATTATGAACTGTTTCTTCGTGCTTATTTTAACAGGTCATGGTAGGGAAGCTCTCATAACGATGTATGACGACTTTTCCGGCCTGGGTGCCTATGTACCAATTTTAATCTTGATGATGTGCCGTAACTCTTCTAGAAGTTGGCCTCAGTATTCAAGCGACCTCATGTTATTTATAACGTTTTTAAACGTGTACATTTTAACAAAAATAGACTAAAAAGGTTTTTTAAAAAATCTGTAACTTTGGAAGCAAAATTCGAAATCCCTGCTCTCGAATTAGTCAAGATTAAGTATTTATATGAATACAACCAAAAAATTTGCATTTATATGTAATAGGCAACAAAAAATTTGTTCCCCAGTGCAATTTTTATCTAGAAGACAAAACAAATCTGTCTACGGTTATATATTAACAATATAAAATTTATAAATTAGGCCTGTAATTTTGAAACTGTGATTTTAGCTAACTTAAAAAATAATAAATTGGAAAATTCATTGGCTAATCTTTTCAGTAAAGCAGTTTTTTAAATATTTACTATATGAAAAGTGGAACCAGTAATAATTGTGTAAGAACGGCTACTACTATTCAAGAAGTTTTACTCATAATCTAAAAGTTTATTTTTCTAAAATCTCTGTTTAAGCTAAAATACTTTAGATGCCTAGGTGATCAGGAAATTGGGATCTGTAGACCACACTGATTAAAACTATGCATCAATTAGCTCTTATTGGTCCTGAGGTGTGTTGATCAAATTTCTAATAATAAAGTACCGATACACCTTCTAGAATTCCACTCTCTGTCCCAGTTGAGCACTCAAGCGAACAGATCAGATTATTCTTTAATGAAGATCGGGAAACAACACCCTTTCATAATAGCCATCATGCTGTTACTTTCATACCCTATCAAGCATCCGCATCTGAGTGATTCATAACAATCGAAGATAAAGCTCGTAATGAAGCATTTACTTTCTCTCACGGAAGTTAATGTAGGAAAAAAATAGAAAAATGTTGTAATATTCTTTGTCCAAAAGCTAAAAATACCTGCTCCTGTAATTGATTTTCTTTAAAAGAAGGTTTACTTCATTTTTTGACCATTTCTAAGAAGAAGTAATGATTAACACATTACTGCTATCGAGTTCTTTTAACACCAAGATTGCCCAAGGAAGTCATTTGGACTGCTTTTTAATCTCAATTAGAAAAACAACGATGACACAATTTCTTAGAATTTTGTGACTTTCTGTACAACGTGTAATTTTTTATTATTAATATTTACTAATAACTTGTTATATGACTGAAAATAATATCAAAAATATTAAAAATTGATTTTAAACAAATTTCTTTATACATTAGTTATTCTTTCACAATGCAGTCCTTTTGACTACTTTTTGGCAAAATAGGTATTTCAATCTTTCTAGCGTTAAAGAATGATTATAAAAATACACGATAAGCAAATAAGATAAGCAAATTTTTCCCGACTTGATTTAATTTTCAGTATTTTTTTCTTTTACATTTTATTAATGGTAATTTGCTTAAAAACCGTATACAATAGGCCGGAAGATTTACATTTTCTCTTACTAGCCAGAGAAAACATAGTGAATAATATTAAGCTAAATAAAGAACTATCATGTACTAAATAAATAAATTTATTTTAAAATATTTATGGAAGCAAAATACATTTAATGTATACATTACAACTTTGAAATATGTGAATTGCTAAAGAACTCTCTTTCTAAATAAATCTCTGCATCACAAATTGATGGATTCTGAAGGAGCAAAATTTTAAATGGAGGCATTGCATAGGACATTTTAACGAAAATTCTGTTTTCCTGAGTTTTTCTGCATTGATGTATTTTTATCGTTTTTTTTTTTTTTCTTTTCGAAATTGATGGGAAAAAGTAACCGGTTGCTTATTTAATTTACGTCGCCGCTGTTTTTTGTTGACTTGCCATGTGACGAGTGGCTATTTTCAGGTCTAGTATACAATCAAGCGTTTCTTTAATAATATATATTTTATTTTACTTTTAGGTCAGTTTTGAAAGTATATTTTCGAGCGTATAGGTGGAGTGTAAAGTTTGTTTAATGTTTAATTGAATGATTAATTAGTATTCAACTAATATTTCTGAAAATAAACGATTGTAAAGATACTTTTTTCTCTTTAAAATCTTAGATTAATATAAATTAGATAGTTTTTTTCCTTTCCTTTTTTATGACAATTTATTTCTCAAAATTTTACAAACTTTTCGACTTTTGTGCAAATAAAACAAAAACTTCCAGACAAGATTTTTTGTAAAAGTAATTATCCTGATTTATGACACTTAACATTATGATACGAAATTTTTTTGAAAACAAGCAACTTGAGCACTAATTGCTTAAAAATAATAATACCATACAAATAATAATACCATACAAACAATAATAACATAGAAACAAACACGAGCAGTTTAGAAAATACTTGCTAACTGCCTCCCAGAAGAGATTTAATAAATAAGGAAAACATAACTCAGTATTATATTTCCTAATTTTTTTTTCATAAAATTCAACACGAAGCTACTAAATATTTAAAAAAGGTGCTTTCAAGAAAACCAAGAAAATTATGAAAGTTAAAAAAAATAGCTTTTTAGTAAATTTTTCATATGTGCTATTATATTTAATGCATAAAAGTTGTTATGGTAAAACAGTGAATACGCTAAGAAAAGAAAAATTAAAAATATCAAAAATGTTGTAGAAAGGTATTGGTTAAGTAGTTTAAAGTTTCTAGTTGAAGTAGTTTAAAGTGTTATGAAAAAATACAAAAAGATATTAAGAGAACGTTATTATTAAGATATTAAGAGAACGAAATTATACAATATTCACTTTAAATACTTTATATACTTAATTCTTTATAAACTGATTAAAAAATAAACAGTTGAGCCAGCATTTTTTTTTTAATTATTTTTTTTTAAAACTTTTTTTATGAACATAAAAAAAGCCATAGAAATGTTGTTTCACTATGTTCCTTTATAAAAATTAAAACTATGATCGTTTACCTAATTTTGAATTTATTATAATTTAACTTATTATAATTTAATGACCGTTAAATTATTTATCGATTTCTATGATCAAACAAGATTTGTTAGAGACCAATACATTTTAACAATTCTAATGATGTATTTTAATTCTAAAACTGCTGGGTGTAAAATTTTTAGAATAAAATGAAACTAAACTTTAAATATTTTACCATATTTACACAATTAGACGCTTCTAACGATAATAGTAAACATTTTATATATTTTAATTACCGAAACCTTAACGAGAGCAAAACTATTAAGTTACACAAAGAAAAAGCAAAGAGATAGATACATTATCTCAGGTATGTAAAAAGGATTAAAATAGGCATAATACAGGGGACCTCAATTCAAGTCTTATAGCACAATGAAATTTTATGTTTTAATGACTGTAATTGCAATAACTGGATTGAAAATTGCATTTGATATAAAAAAAATGATATGTATAAAGAAATAGCGTTATTGAAAATAATGTTATTGAAAACAATGCTGTTAAGGACAAAAATGAATTTGATGATAATAAATATTGTTAAAATGATGATTTCAAAAAGCTCAAAAGGATTACATGAGTTTTAAAATTTCAATAACGAAATAAAATCAAATAAAAAATGGAAATAAAATCAAATAAAAAATGTATTGTTTTTATAAAAAAAAATAATCTAATAATATTTTTGTTTGTTATTAATTACGTCAAGAATATTTTCCCCAAGGTTTTAAGTCAATCGGAATTAAACTCTAAAAGCGATAGTTTTTAGAAACATCTCACGTCAAGCCAGGCAATTAATCGAAAGCTAAAAATAAAATTTTAAAAAAAATCAATTTTAAAATACCATTGTCCCAATCTAATTGAATCATTTTACACTTCTTTGAAATTATATTAGCCAGATATTTAACAAAGCATAGCGTTTTTTCTCTTCGCATATTTTCTTTTGTTCTTAACTTTAAAATACAATTTAAAAATTCAAGTTAATAGATAACAAAGTTTCATTTTATCAATTAGTTAATTTTTGAATCATAAAGATTATTCTTAATTCCTTCACATGATTTTTTGTTTAGCAATTTTTTATTAAACTGGTCGGTAAATTTTCTCCATTACTGTTAAACTGAATGATTAAATTTTTGTTGTTTAAACTAGAGAAAAACATTTATCTTTAATTAATTTATCAATAAATAAATTTTTAGGTATGAACATTTAATTCCTACTGTTTTACGAATAGGAAGTTGAAATTTTATAAACGTCATACAGGATTCTCTCTTGGAATAAAAAAAAAAGGGTAGGATGCTTCTTCACAGAAAAGGGCGCTTAGAGTTTTGAAAGGGCACTCACTTAACACCGTAAAAATGTATCAAAATGTGTAATATCATGTAATAACTGAATTTGCGGCTCAACAATTTTTGAGTTACCGTCTTATATTATTTTATGTGTATATTTCAAAAAGTAATCTTCATTCATTATCTAAATAAGAGAAAATTTGTTGTTTATAAATAATAATTAAAGGCATGCTAAGAGAACAATCTCTGTGCATGCATTTTTTTTTTAAAAAAACGTAAACTAAATAAATTACTTTTTGATAAGCAGTTTAAAAGATTTTTTTATGCTGAAAATTATTAGAAAAATGAACATTTAAAGGTGCATCTTTTTTAAAAGAAGTATTTATTTAAAAAACAATTTTAAATTTAAAATAATTAAAAAATTTTATTAATATACCTTCTTGAAAAAAGAGAAAGGTAAAAAATTTTAGCCAGCTCCGAATAATCCAAACAAAGTAAATATTTATAACAGGAATCAGAATTAAACCTATAAACACAGATAATTTTTGTGTGAAATTATTATTTTAACAGTTAATTATTTTTTCTTAAAAATGGAATATGAATAAAAAGGCAGTGTTTTTAAGGGATCTCTACTTATTTTTACAAAAAAGGCAAAGAGGGCTCATTTACAAGGATCAAAGAGCAAGCAGGGCGACTCGCCCTGCTGAAAACACTTAGGGAGACACGGGTCACAATAATCTGTTAAAACATTTCATATGGAATTAATATTTTTTCCTCACTTGTGTATTTTTAATTAAAACGTTATATTACCTGTTATTGCGAAAACAAAATTATTTAATAGATTTAGATGTAGCCACACAAACAAAGTAAGCCATTTTTTTTAAATTTTATAGAAAATAGCACCGGTTTATCAATAAGTTCATGCTTGACTGAAGTTGCCTCATTGACATTTTTACTGTCAAATCTTCCTGCTTTTCATTCAATATTGAATAACTTTCACGTGTGTTTTTACTGTTCTTTTCCCTATTGTTTTCTGTGTTTTTTTCCTCCCAATACTTGGATATCAACAATTCTATGATTTTTTCCTAAAGTTTTGTCCTTTCAACATAAAATGTATTTACCGAAATCCACCTGAGACTGACATTAAACAATATGAAAATAATAATATTAATAAACAATAAACTTTTTTTTTGTTTGAAAAAGGCAACAAACAAAAAACACGTAAATTATAATTGGCACAAAAGAAACAAAAAATAGAGTTCCATTCAGAATTTAAATTCGTAGAAATTATTAAACTAACTTTGAAAGAACTATTATTAGACACGTTTTTCGTTTATTATTCTTGTGCTAGTCTATATATTGATTTAAAGAACAGCTGGCTGGTAGTTTAAAAATAGCTTTGTTCTTATAAAGTATTTAAAAATGTGTTTATTTAAAATCCATGCATTACTGCACAGATCTATTTCCGGGTAATTTGGAATTTTCCATCATTCCCAAAGGAAATTTTAACTGCAAAAATGAAATCTAATTTATCCACAAATAAAGAAAAATCGAAAAATCCAGCATGTTTTTTTCTTCTTTTTATAAGAAGATATAAGAAAAAAGAAAATTGATGATTATAAGATTATCAATTGTGTGCAGAGTTATATAACAGAAAACCCGCCATCTTTGTGTTATACTTTATTATTTCTATTATTATTATTATTGTTACTATTATTATTACTATTATTATTATTTTATTTAAGCGCCAAATTGTTTGTCACTGAAATTTTTCACTTTTGATTCTTATCATTTTTCGACTTTTTAACAATCATTACACTGGAAAACAAATATTTTGTTGCATTTACAATAAACTTTGTTTTTAAATCTTATTTACGAGTTATACACTATAATACGACGAACTAAGATATTAATTTTTTAAATTTATACATTCATTAAAAGTTTTAAATTTTCATATAAAAATTTGTGAGCATTTGTAGGATATTTGCGTCCAGGAATAATATTAAAAAAATCAACTTTCGTCTCTAAATGATAAAAAACTTTATACCGATTTGAATCATCATTTTGTTTAACTGGAAAAGAATAAGGGATAAAAATCTGGAAGAATTCTTTATTATTATAGAAATAATAAAAAAATGAAATTACCCCCTTTATAAATTACCTCTCACTATTTATACCAATGAAAGAAATTTGATCTTCAATTAAATTGCAATTTATTAATTTTTTATTTCGTTCAGTTCATTAGTTCGTATATAACTACATAATTTACAGTTATTTTAGTAATTTCTTTTGTATCGTTACATTTTAAAAGATTTCACTATGAAAATTTGTGGCGACTTTTCTTTACCTACATAGGGTAAAAAGAAATGGTACATATATTTACGGTTTTTTAAATAATGCTTTTATTTTTTGTTAAAAAAATGAATATCAACCGATAAGATTGATTTCAAAACAAAAATAGCCATTCAGGAAAATTTGAACAAACTATTTTACCATTTCGTTTTAAAATGTAGTAACATTTGATGCATTTTCTATAGATATCCAATGTAGAAAAGCAACTAACCTAATAAATAAATAAAATTTCATTGTGATTTATTTTTATTTATTTTCAGAAAGTGAAAGTTTACTTTCACACGGATTAAAACTTAAACAGACTTAAAAATCAATGAAGCATGACATGAAAAAAAAAATCCTTTTTTCTTAACAATTATCATATACAAAATATCTATACTTCAATATCAAAAACATACACTTACTTAGAGTGACCAATACAAAACACACTAACAGCTCGTATCTAGTAGCCATCGTCCACTTTACTAAAACTTTTTGGCACTAGTGCTGTTGACCGAACGGTATTCCTTCTGCCACCGGTTTGGAATAAGTCCTACTCTTCTTTTAATCCAGAAACATCCCTTCTGAGGTGCAACGACTCCCTGATCCACCCTTAGGCCCTGTTCCACATCCGAATTCGAAATGTGTGTCAAGTTTGAAAGCTTCGAAAGTGGATGAGATGTTTTTAGAAAAGTAGCCGTCCATGTTCCATTGGCGGAGACATATTTCAGTGGTCAATAGAAAATATTTTTGATTGCAGATTTTAATTACGTCGCTTGATGGAACTTTCACCTTATCTTGTTTGTTCTGTCTTCATGCATGCTGTTGCAGAATCTCATTCTGTCTAAATGTCCATCAGAATATTTTGTTCTAAAAAACGATATGTTGATGGAAGTACATTATATACTGAAAGGTTTTTCCTTATGCTTTTAAATTTATACAGACAGGAGTGATGCTGATTTTCAATAAGTGTTTTTTTGATAATGAAATTTTTTTATTTTCTTAATGAATGTGTGTTACGACAAACTGTGTTTAGATTACAAGTTGCTGTTTGAAATTTGAAGGAAGAACGATGTATTTTTCATAAATAAAACTAAAATCAAGGGGAATTATTAAACATGAAGGTCTTTATTTTATCAAAATATAAGGAAAATATTAAATAAAGAAAAATAATATATATATATATATATATNTCAGATATATATATAATTATGAAAATTAGAAATATTGGGAGAGCATGATTTAATTATTGTTAAAATTTCAATAGTTTACGAAAGTTTTAGATGTTGCTTTTCTTGAGATGTTTCTTAATGAACATATCCAAAACATATAGTACGGAAATTGATTTATTGGAATTCTATGAAATTTGGATGGAATTTATTGGAATTTGAATTTTGAAATGATACCCTTATCAAATGTTTTGTAATTCAATTTTTTAAAAAACACTAAAGGTTTTATTGAATAGTTACGGAAAGTCATGTTGAAGCGTACAAATTCGCTATAGAACAAAAAAAATCTTGAACATTTTGGTCATTAATAATTTTTGAATTATTGCATGTATTAAATCAAACTAAGTTTTTAGCGACTTATACTGAAATCAAAGTTGTCTAAAATGTCCACTGCGATCTTTAGATTAGTCGTAACTCCCTTAACATAACAGGAAAAAATGTAAATGTAGGCAATAGTTACAACAAATAGCACCAGTAAACTTATTCAGGAATTCGGCTCAGAATCCGCTGAATCGATCCCACTATGAAAACCGGGTCGGTTATTTTAACAAATGTTCCCGCCACCAACGATGTATTATATTTTTTCTGTAATAAAATAACCAATACTTCACTTATGCTACCAATAGTGATTTTTAAAGCTGATGCTTGATTTTGAAACCCATAATCTCTTTTTATTACTTAAATTTTCAAATTCCAAACGTTTGGAAATTATTTCGCTGAATTAAAAAAAATCCAACACTCTGAGAAAAATCGATTAAACGCTGAATCATTATATCAGTACCTTGCAATACACGGGAAAAGTGCTGCAACCTTAAGTTTATGAAGTATGATATTATGGTTGAACTTAAGGATGCAATAAATTTGAATAATCACTGTAATTTGAATAATCATCAATATTCTTAAGATATAACGAAATAATCAAAAAAGTGAAATCAAAATAATTGATCAACTAACTAACCTATTGGGTCCATGTTTTCCGAATGTTATATGTAACACTTGACCCTTTGTACCATTGAAATTGAAAACGATTATGTCATGATGCGTCCTTGCGACGCCCACTTTATAAAACTTCCAAGCTCACTCAGTTTTTTGGGTGTATAACTGTGGTTGTTAGAATATCGGAGGTCCTTGGTTCGATCCTTCCCGTGGCCAACGAACATCTCTCACATTTCTGCCACCACATCACTTTTGAGACTAAGCACTTTGCTCAAAAATAAGCATATTCTGTTTCAGTTGTAAATTAACGGGGTTTACAAATGTGACTATTTTTTTTTGTTTCGGAACTATTTTGACGCAATTTTGCTCAAATTTTTTCATAGTGGTATAATGAACTCCTAAGAGTATTATTTAAAAACTTCCGTATTAAGTATGCTTTCCGTTTTAACCAAGACGTTATAAAAAATTGTTCCTCGCTCTTATTACTTTGAACTTCTTGTTTAATATTACAACCAATTAAATCGAATAAATAATTGCAATAAAAGTAATTTATGTCATATAAAGTTTAAAAAGATTAAAAATTTTAAAATATTATTTTCCTTTCATTCATTATGAACTAAATTTACTTCTGTTTCATTTTTCTCTTGAAAAGATGTTTTCCGCCATGATTATGGAACAATGATATTTTCAATAAAAAAATTATTTTAACGATATACCACTTTTACTTTTTAAACTTGCAAAAACAATTATCTTTATGCCATTAACTGTAACTTCAGTAGCGATTGCAATTGCTTCTCATTGTCTAATTTACTCTACCAGATGTAATACTATTATCAATATCTCTCTTGTCAAACATATAATTTCCTCAACTCTTTATTTTCTGCGGCGGCTTTATTAAGTTCATGAAGATACAAAAACATAGAATCATATAATTGTCACTATATATCTTACAAGTCTAAAAGAGATCTTCCTCATACTTGCAGAATGTCCTAATTCGGGAAAAATTCTCTCATAAAAACCATAAAACAAGCCATTTAAACCTGTTTGCTTTTCACCTTTTAAACACAAGTTATTTTTTATTAGAGAAAAAAAAATAGAGAACTGTATTAGAGTGATGTGATCTACTTAAAGTTTGACGAGGTTTGGTTGTATGCCAAAAATGTATTCAACAAATTCAGAATGAATAATTTGAAGATGTCAATATAGGAAGACGTAATCTATAAAATTAACTATCAATGAATAATGGCTTTCAGAAAAATTGGACTATTTTTTGTACATTTTTATAATCGAATTTAACAGTATGATTCAGTATGATGTATTCACGATACCGTTTGTGAAGTCTATTATTAGTCGCAGTTTTCAGTGCTGAGCCAGTTATAAATAATTCATCTGTCACTCAAAACGATAGCAACGCATTTTTACAATACTTGTATACGAATTTAACAGTACATAAAAAATTCTCTGACTTTGTTACTTTGCATTTGATATTGTTTGTTAGATTTTTAAATAATCGTAAGCTGGACATAAATAGTTCATACGTCACTTAAAACTAAATGAACATAATTAAACAATGCTTGTACCATCAACTGCAGTTACTTTGGACAGCGGGGTAACTTTGTGCATTCTTTTAAAAACACCTTGAGCAACAACAAAAAAAATTTACTCATTGGTTTTCGAGAAATCTGCAACAAATCACGACTATTAACTGTACTGTTAACAATATTGAGATAGATGTTTTACAATTTAATTATAGTTTATTATTATGAAAATGATTAATTTATAAAGTGACTTGTGAGCAAACAATTCGAGCACCTTATCAACTTTTCAAGCCAGTTGTAACTCCGCAATTAGAAACAGCTATTCTTAAGCTGCAATCTTTGAAGCATTGAAATTTTTTCTTATTATTTATATTTGTCTCACATTCAATAAACATTAAAGGAATAATGATTTGATTTGATTTTATAATAGTCGTTGAACAGTCGACCTAATTTATGGGTTTACGACTACCAACGTTTAATTCCGTAGCCTTGTAATTTTGAATTAGATCCTGGATGCAAGAGAACTCCTGGATCAAGTATTGGGTACTTTTTGTTAGAACTAACCCGCACTTGCGTTACACGGAGAGGAAAAACCATGAAAACCTCTCATGGTTAGCCTCAGGGCAAGGGGACTCTGGCCCATGATTCATCTAACACTGAGGATATTTTACCCCCGCACTGGGGTCAGTGCGATCCGGGTGCGGAATTCGAATAGACCAGCCATCGCTGAGATTCAAACCAGGTTCACCTCATTGGGAGGCCAGCGCTCTATCTCCTAAGCTACCACTGCTCAAAGGATAATGACTTTTAAATTTTTGAAAATTAAATTGCATGTAATTTTGTTTAGTTGAGTAATATTACCCTATGATCCATTGGAAAATGAAAGTCACTTTGCCAACCTCTCACTATTTAATTCTTAACGCAGAATTTTTATTAAACATATTTTTAATACTTTTTTCATTAATTTGTATTAATTTAGGTCAAAATAAGTGAAAAAAATATTATATTTAGTATTTTAATAACTTATGGTTATGAAATATAGCATTAAACATCGGTCTGTTTTCTGCGTTAAGGGTAAAATCTTCCAAACACGGCTCACTTCCAAGCAATAATTTTTTTAATTTGCACTTATTTGCCGTTATTTAGATCTAAGAAAAGCAGTTACTCTGCATTGAAATTTTTTTAATTTGCAAAATCAATTGTTGACAAATTTTTGACTATGAAAAAAAAAAATTTCAAAGTATTTATTTTTTTGTATCTTATATTTTAGTAAAACAATAGTTCCGATAATCTAACAGATTTTATTTAGTAACTATTAGACTATTTTTTTATAAATAGAAAATACCAAAATATATGTTTGCTTGTATTTAGAGTATCAGAAAAAAAATACAAAAGGAACACCGACGCCCCTTCTGCCCCAAATAGTTAAAACTAAGCGTCAATATGTGATACAGCTACGAGCAGTGAGAAATGTACTGACATTTCTACCCGTAACGTCTGATGAAAAAAGTACAATTGAAACTAAACAAAGCATTTAAAACATTAGTTTGACAAAAATTTGTAACAATTATGTTTTCAAAGAGCAAACATTTATACCTGAAAAAATACATGTACCTGAAAAGTCTTATTTCACATAGTTTTCAAAACTCAATCTTTAAGGAAATAAAGGGGCAACTTACTTTTTAACAAAGATTTTTCAATATTTTTAGAAATAATGTGATAGTATGTAACGAGCAGAAAAAAAAATCTGACACTCTAGGCTATTCAGTTATTCATAAATTTTCTTAAGTTCAAAGCTGGTGAAAGTAACAACAGTCGGCTGTAATCGATTTATCAGTACATAGAACTGACTAATTTTGTTACT